TGCAAGTGTTGATATTTTTTTTGCGTTTTCTAAAATATTTTTTTCTACTTTGTCCAATCTCTCGTTTAAGATTTTGGTGTTTGCACTAACGATGTTTATAAAGTTGTTTTCTTGTGGCTTTAGCGCAGCTTCTGTTTCCACTTTGTATTTTGTAAACAAGTCTTTTATCATTTTTTTGATTTCCACAAGTGTTACTGCAATTTTAAATGTATATGCAAAAATGTTAATATAGTTAATATATTTCAATCTTATTAACATAAATTTAACGTCTAGTGCAAAACAAAATGTTAGTACATCAAAAATGTTAAGTTTTAACTTGCGATCTTCTCCAGATTTTCTTTTTGGTATATCTTTTCTTTTTGGTATATCTTTTGGTATATCTTTTAATTAAGAAAAAAGAGTAGTGAAAATTTAAAAATTCATAACTTTTTAAAAGGAGTGATATTTTTAAAAATTAAATAATTTTAGTGCTAGCTTGGTAACTTTTCATTTTATTTTTACTTATTTTGGTTTTGCTAAAATAAGTGCCAAAAATGCGTAACTATTCATTTCTTTTGACATATCATCGTTTATATCATGAAACATATAATCGTTTCAAAAACGCTTTGAGGATTTAAACATAATATCATCATTAATTAATTTTGATTTTTCTATTATTAGTATAACTGAAACAAGGTTAAAAAAACGAACATCCTCAATTCATCCGATTCTCATTGATAATTACAACATTGAACAGACACCAACGGTATCCTCTTGCGACGGTACATTATTATATTTATCAAAAAAACTAATATACAAACAAAGAGATGATTTAATGATTTATACACCTAATTGTTTAGAATCCACATTCGTTGAAGTTATTTTTTCTAAAAAGTCTAATATTATTGTTGGTTGCATTTATAGACACCCTTGCATGGATATTAATAATTTCAATAATATCATGTCTGTCTAACTTCAAAAAATATCTGCTGAAAATAAATCTGTTTTCTTACTTGGTGATTATAATATTGATCTGATGCAATCAAATAATGATATTGCGACATCTGATTTTTTAAACTTATTTTTTTTTATGATATTCGCCCTTTTATCACTTTGCCGACTAGAATTACTGATCACTCTGCTACAATTATTTATAATATTTTCTCTAGTTTAATAGCTAATGAATTGTTTCAGGAAGTTTGGCAACTTCTGTTTCTGATTACTTGCCTCAATTTTGTATTTGTGCCAATTTCAATAAATTATTTATACCACGCAGACACAATTTATATAACAGGAGTTTTAAAAACTTTAATAAAGAAAACTTTAAATATGATTTATCAAAAATTTACTGGGACGATATTACAAAGTCCAATGATACTAACACATGTTTCCAAACGTTTATTACTGAAACAACATTGATTTTAGATCATTACGTCCCACTTCAAAAAATCAGTATAAAAAACTTCAAACGTTGATTCAAACCATGGGTTACAAAAGGAATTATAAAATCTATTCAAGTGCGCAATCTTTTCCAAAAAAAAATTTTAAGATCTAAAGATTTTATTAATAAAAAAAAATTTGAATGATTTTTAAAAGATATAAATATATGATAGTTACATTAATTAAACTTAGTAAAAAAAACCATTTAAAAATTTTTTTCTCAGAAAATGTAACAAATCTTCGCGAACTTTGGAAAGGTATTAACACTCTAATTAATGTAAAAAATTTGAATAAATCATCTCCCAACTGTTTGCAAGAAAATGATACATATATAACTGACGCGACTTTAATCTCTGAATCATTTAACAATTTTTTTACAAATGTTGCTCATAAACTCAAATCCAATATTCATTCATCTTACATTAACTATCAAAAATATCTTAAACATCCAAATTTACATAGTTTATTATTATCTCCAACAAATATTTCTGAAATTTCATCTCTTATATCTAAATTGAATCCAAAAACATCATTAGGTCCAAACACCATTCCCACAAATATTCTTATAGATTTTAACTACGATTTTTTAAATATTCTTTCTAAACTATTTAATATCTCATTTATAAATAGAAAAATTCCTGTTATTTTGAAATTATCTTGCGTTATTCCAATATTTAAAAATGGCTCTAAACTTTCATGCACTAACTACAGACCTATTTCTTTTTTTTTCTAACATTAGTAAGCTTCTTTAGAAACTTATGTATTCTAGAGTGTACTCTTTTCTAAACTCATTTAATTGTTTAAATGATTTTCAATTTGGTTTTTGATCAAAACATTCTACTTGCCATGCATTAATAAGTATAACGGAAAAAATCAGGAAAGCTCTTGATACTGGTCATTTCATTTGTGGTGTTTTTATCGATTTACAAAAAGCTTTCGATACCGTTGACCATAGTATTTTGATTTATAAGTTAAAACATTATGGAATTCGCGGTATTGTAAATGACTGGTTTTGATCTTATCTTTCAGATAAAAAACAATTTGTAAGTATTAATGGTTTCAATTTTAGTTATAAATTAGTTTTGTGTGGTGTTCCTCAAGGTTCTGTTCTAGGTCCTCTTTTATTTTTAATCTACGTTAACGACCTAATCAACTCTGTTCACTTCTCTTCAGTGTTTGCTGATGATAAAAATCTCTTGGACATTAACGAATCGTATCATTCTTTATGTAAAAACGTTAATTCGGAGCTAAAAGGTATCGTGCACTGGTTAAATGCTCACCTAATATGTCTCAACACCGAAAAAACTGAACAAATTTTTTTTTCATCTCCAAGAAAAAACAATTTCTTTAAAAATGTTGAAATCGAAATCAAAATTAATAATAAACGGCTATATCCTTCAAGAGTTATTAAATATCTGTGTGTATTAATTGATTGCAATCTTTTATGGAACTTTCATATTTATGAACTAAGCAAGAATCTCGAGCTAACGGTATGCTTTCAATAATTCGTCATTATGTCGATAAAGTTACGCTTAGGAGTATTTACTATGCATTATTCTCATCTCATCTTACCTATTGTTCTCAAGTTTGGGGTCAAGTTGGAAATTATCGCATTAACAAGTTGCTATCGTCTCAGCGTCAATCCATCAGATTAATAAACTTCCAATCAATTAAATCAGATACATCGAAGTCCTTCAAAAAACTTTTCATTCCAACATTTTCAGCGCTAGTAAAGTATGCTAATCTTCTTTTTGTTTTTGACTCCTTAAATAAAAACATACTATCTCCTATCACATGTTGCTATCTCCTATCACAAACATGTTGCTATCTCCTATCACAAACATGTTGCCATCTCCTATCACAAACTTGTTCACAGAAAGTAGACTATAACATTCCTACTCGACTAGAAATATACACAATCGAAAACTAAATGTACCACCTTTTAAAACCCAGAAGTATGGTAAACATTCTATTGTTTATCAGATTTCTGTATGAGTGACACCACCTAATAATTCATTAACTTATTATTATATTAATATTAGTTATTATTATTATCTTTTCATTGTAATTATTGTAAACATATTTATTATTACTATTACTATAATTGTTATGATTATTTTTTTTTATCTTATATTATTATTATATATTTTTGCTATTATTGCTATTATTATTATTATTATTATTATTATTATTATTATTATTATTATTATCATTATTATCAAAACTATTGTAAAATGATTTACGGAAAATAAATAGCTTGTTGTTGTTGTTGTTGTTGTTGTTGTTGTTGTTGTTGTTGTTGTTGTTGTTGTTGTTGTTGTTGTTGTTGTTGTTGTTGTTGTTGTTGTTGTTGTTGTTGTTGTTGTTGTTGTTGTTGTTGTTGAATCAAAAATATTTATTTGAAAGATTTGCGTCACAAAAATCATTGAGTACGTTACGTTCAGGTTTGAAGACATTAAAGCGCAGCGATTCAAAATCTATTGTTTCGTAAGTCTTCAAGTTAAAAAGCGAAAATTAAAAACGCGTTTTTTTAAAATGAAAGATTAAATTAAAAATCAATGTCAAGTAATGATGCTTTTCAAAAAATTGGAATGATTGGAGGGTGGGAACAAAAAAGCCCTAAAATTTCATCCCCCACCCATGCCCCAAACCTGACGGTAACAAGTTGATAAAACAATTTTTTATCAAATTGTTACCGTCTATTTTTACCTAAATGTTTTCTTCCTTAAAAGTATACTTTCTATTACTTTTGAAAATGCTAAAGAATCTAGAAATAAAGTTTAAAAAATATAGGAAACACCATTTTAGATGGTGTTTCCTATTTTAGATGTTTATAAGATGTTAAATTAAAAAACAAAGTCCTCCATTTCTGATATTTGCCATCCAAATAAAAAAGTTGGGTGGGATAATAAGGTAGGGGTTGGGTGTGGTGGAGAGCGTGCACCATCCTACTACCACTTCAGACACAATTTCGTAAAACTTCAAGAATAAAATCATATGATGTCATAAAAAGATTTTTTTGTACATATGATTTTTGTTTTTCAAACCTATAGAAAAAATGCGCATCAATAAATTTTCATTCTGGTATTGTGGAACCTTTTATTAAATAAAACCAATTCTTAATTTTTTTGATGTAATTTTTAAATAAATACTTTGTATATAGATTTTTCAAGTTCCAGCTATAAATATGGCCTTATTATTCATTTTTTATTGTTTATATAGATAAAATATAACAATTATAATAACAATGATCGCTAAGCGCTTTTTTGTTCCATTGTGCATTGCCTCAATATTATATGTTTAATCTTATGTTTGTATCAAATTATTAATAGGATGTTGCAGACTAGCACACCATACATATATACATTAAAAAATATTTATTAAAAAACTTCAAGTTTAAGTACTATCAAATGGTATTAAGTTCTTTTTTTGTCAAAACACAGAAATTATAACTTTTAAGATTAATATTAGTATATTAATATATAACTTATATAAAAAATTATTTAATTTGATATTTTGTTTATGTAAAATAAGTAAACTTGAAATAAAATACCTATTCATTTTTTTTAATACTTAATTAGGCTCTTCCTCTGCGTGTATGGCAGATCAGTGTAAATACATGACATGTCCTCCTGGTTACAAGTGTGCAGTTAACATTGGATGTGGTTGCACGGTCAGCTGCAAATTAAGTACGCTATTTTTAAATATTATAAAAGTTATATTTTTATAAAAAATGCTGTTTTTCAAATATATAATACTTAATTCTCAACTGCAGGTGAACCTAATATAGCGAGGGCTTGCGAACACTATTCTCTTTCAATCGATTGCAAAGGAGATGGTTATATTGAAGTGGTATCAGCTAATTATGGAAGAACAGTGTCAACATTATGTCCTGGAGGAAACAGTCAAAATGTTAATTGCACAAATGAGTTTAACTCTATAAATGTTATAGCAAGCAAATGCGATGGTATGCCTTCATGTAATATATTAGCAGAAAATAGTATCTTTACTGATCCTTGTGTTGGAACTTATAAGTATCTTGAAGTAAAGTATTATTGCAGTTGGTAATTTATAGTTTAATGATTCAAAATGATAAAACAAATGTTTTTAACTGGTTTATTTGACAGATAAAAAATACTAGCAAAAACCTATAAAAGTCAAGAACACTTGTTAATTGGTCAATGAAAGCAAAATATATATTAATTTAAGAATTTACTAATTTTTGGTTATCATTCGTTAAATGTTTAAAAGATTTTATAAAGCTTATTTTTAATTGGGAAGTATAGTCAACTTCGAGATCAACTGGTACCAGCGTAAAGATTAAAAAAGCTTAGGAAGAAAAAAAAGAAAAAGATTTAGTTATTAAAAAATAGTAATAATAATAAATGTCATTTAAAGTAAATAAGGTGCAAAGTATTTTAATCTTTTGATTTTTTTGTTATTCCCTTTTTAAGAATAAGGTTCTTTATTGGTTGCCCTGTTGAAAAGGCTCTCTTATTATTCCTAACTTTAAAAATACCACTTATGGAAGAGGAAACACATTAAAAATATATTTCAACTTGTAATACTAGAGGAAGATAATGTTTTTACAAAAAAAAGCAAAGTATTTTTACAGAAAAAAAATTCCCACAAGCAATATTAAGGAAGAAACGTTGTTGAAATTAGGAAATTGTAATAGTTGAAAACAACATAGGTTATGTAAATAATAACAATAAATAATAATAAGTTAACTCTTAAACTTTAAGGGCAATGTTTTTTTGCTTTTTCTATGCTATCTTTCTAACACAATTTCTTGCTTTTTACATATTTCACTTCTGTTCTTCACAAAGTTCACTTATTTATAGTCCTTGGAGATATACTATAACGCTCTGTAGAGAACTGATATGTTTGTCGGCTATTATCAGGTAAGATGTGATTAGTGGAATCAAGAGATGAGATGGATAAAAACTTTTCAGCTTTAACAATTCAGCTTTGTCTTTAGGTGAGGTAACAAAATTCTAAACCATGCAAGAGAGGTGGTATAAGGACTTTGCCCTTATTATAGGCACTGTTAAAGAATATCCAGAAGTCTTAGCAGCCTAATTTTTGAGATAAAATACGAGGTGACCTGAGAATAGCGAGCTGACATTTTTCAATATGTCACGATATCTATACTGGTATAATGTTTCTTAGTATATTTTATGACAGCCAATACCTGAGCCTGATATGCATTCCTTTATGCTAACATAATAATAATATGCCATTAGCTTTTTGATTTCGACTATTTTTCCGTATTTTTGAGACAAAAAAATCTCTTTTTTTCCTGGTTATAATTTTATAATTCGACTCATGACATAAGATAATCATTTTCGATTGTCCCACCGAATAACTTAAACGCTTTTTGCACCGATTTTAGCAATCGGTTAACGCCAACAAAGGTTTTCTAACAGCATGAAACGAATTTAATTCTTTCTGGCGTAATAATATATTTATTGTCGTACAAATAACTGTTTTACCTACGAGCAAACTATTGAACTCTGGACCTAAAGCTGATAATCCTGCTTAGCGTGTAAAGCACATTTTCAGTCAGTGCTGACATTTTTTTTGAACGCTCTATTGACACTACCAATTGATAAGTAACTTTTTATTGATTTAAGATCGCTGAATTCCGAAATATTATTGCGCCTAAATCAATAACCTAACGTTAGCAGCATGTTGAGTTATAAAAATGCAAAAGACTGCAAGAAAAAATCTATCAATTAACGAGAGCTAATTGATAGATTTTTTCTTGCAGTCTTTTGCAAGACTGCAAGAAAAAATCAATTTCTTATCAAAGTGCATTTAAACTTTTTTTCAAAAAAATTTAGAACACTAAACTATTCCGTTAACTTTCTTATTACTCTCCACCTCCTTTTTGATATCTTTACAATTTTTTTATTTTTTAAATTATACCCATAGTATATATAAGCATAAAAAGACGGCGTACATCAATTTATTGGGTTCTTATTTCTTAAAAGAGTTATACACGTAAAAAACAAGTGCGTTTAAATTTCTGTACAAAGTGAGTATACAACTTGCAGTAATCCAGTGAGACGTGTCTTTAAACCAAATTTTTGTCTCATTGAATTATTAAAAAGTGTATACTCAACTTTTATTTAAAAACATGTCGCGACGTTAGAATTATCTTGCTTTATCTCCACTTTTTGAAAAAATTTCAAGATAAAACAAGATAATTCTAACGTCCCGATGTCTCATTGGATTATTACAAAGTGTATACTTAACTTTGGTTTAAAGACATGTCTCATTGGATTATTACAAGGTATATACTCAACTTCGGGTTTTGTAAACTTAATGTCTCATTGGATTACTACAATCTTAGTCACTATATAATATAGTATTTTTTGTTTGTTTATAAACTAAACGGATCTACTCAGTTGATTTCAAAATTGAACTAAAAATATGCAATTGAACTAAAACTTTTAGTAAAAGAGCAAGAGGTAATTAAAAAATTTATATTAAAGATGTTGACTTAATTTTCTTACCTTGTTTAATTGACAAGTGGATTTACTACTCATAATTTTCCGAGCGTCGGTATATTTCTCAGTAAAATAGTTTTCCGAGGGTCGGTATATTTCTCGGTAAAATAATAAAAATGATGTCGAATCGCGTTACCTTACTTATTGATAGTAATAATGGATACCTATTAAGATTTTAAAGTATTTTTTTCCGGAGAAACCAAAGCTAGCAAAACCAGCAACATTTTACTCCAAATCAAAAATAGTTAAAAATAGTTTCATAACACCTCACCACATTGTATTAAAGTTCAAACTATGTTGCCTAATGTTAAAAACTTACATGGTGAAAAAAATAAATTATATTAGCTAATACAAATTATTCGCAAAATAAAACTAATAAAAAATAAAACTATTAACAACAACAAAAAAAAAACTGTTAAATAAAATCTTTTGTTATAATTTAGAAAAATTCTTTAAGAGTCTAATAGATACAAAAATTAACATTTAACTATATACTATATATAAAATATAAGTTGTGATTAAGCAAAACAAAAATAGTTTCAAACTCGGATCGTGTTGAAAGTTAAATTATTTACTTCTCGATAAGTTTGAATTAAAACTGTGAACGTCTGGCGCAAATATAAATATAAAAAAATATTAAAAAATTTTTTTGTATGTGTTACTTCTAAACAAATCTAGCTAAATAATTAAATAATCCGGAAAAATGAATTTTTATTACAATATTAAATGTTTCATTAGATTTTTTTGTCGTAAAACTTGCATCTGGCTTGAAAATACGACGCTCTATTTCCGAGTAATTTCTTTTAATTTAAAAAAATCTAACATATGTACTTTTTAAAAATAGGCCACCATTCATTTGATAGATTTTTACTGTTTGTTCACAAATCAAATCGAATTTTTGCGTTTTAATGCTCGATAAACTACTTATCATGCCAGAAAAAAACGCTGCAACGCGAGAATAGTTTTTTTTATAAATCGGTCTCAATGCTCATAGTTTCATTCTAATCGGTTCACATTCGACATTTGATATTTTACAATTCTCCTCGTCTAATTTTGCCTTTTTCTAGGCGCTTTTTTAATTGCTCCTTTTCTGTTTCAAGTTCCATTATTTGTTCTTGACACTGACGTAGCTGAAAGATTGAGATAATAATGTTTAGCTTTTTTATAAAAACAAGATGTGTTAATGACTTTGATGACCCATAACAAAAAATAAGAATAGTTACTTGTACCTCTCTAGCAATTTTTCGCTTTTCAGCTAGCAGTTCATCTTCAACAGCTTCCTAAACATTAGAATTCCTTATCAAAACTTAAGTTAATGTAGAGAAGAAAAAAAAGAAAAAAGTAGGTAAGATAGGAAGACTAGAAATTAAAAAAAAGGCGATAAGAGATTAAGGACTTAAGAGAAAAAGAAAGAAAAACGGAGAAAGTTGAAGGAAGGAATAATCAAGCAGAGGGTAACTCACTGCAGCATCAGCTTGTGATTTGTATCTTTTGACTTGTGATTCCAATCGCATTACCTGTAAAATAAATAAGACACAACATAATAAAGCGTTTCAGAAATAACTTTAATTAAAAATTCATAAATGGTAATAACCTGGCCCTCTATCCTCGCATTCTCTTGCTCAAGCTTCAAAACCTGTGATTTCAAGTCAGCTGACTGCTTCTGTAACTCTCCTGGTTTATAGAAAAACACAGTTGAGAGGGAAAATCATTAAAAAAATCAAACAAGTGAAGATGGAGAAAAAATAATTAAGATTAAATAAAACAATTTAATAATTTTAACAACTTTCTAAATATTGTTAGTTTTTATTGGTTTCATAAAATAAAAAATACATTTAGATCATATTTACAATACTTGTAAATAAAAAAAGAGACAAATTTAGTAATATTTTCAAACCTTGTAAATAAAAAAAGACATTTAGTTGATATTTATAAAGGATGTCAGCAAGGAAAAATAATGTAAATTTATTAACAGCCCTACAATTCTTTATTTAAAAAAAGAAAAAAAAAACGACCGCAGAATTAAAATTATAAGTTTACTAGAATTTTAATAGAGTTTTTTTTACCATGTTAAAAGTTGTTTCCATGTTAATGAGTTTTTTTTACCATGATAAAACTAATCTTAGAGTTTAAAATTAGTTTACAACTAAATTAAAAAAAAAAAAAAAAAAAAAAAAAAAAAACAAAAAAAAAAAACAGAACAAAATAAGCAGAATTAAAAAACAAAGCATAAAAAACAAAGAAATATAAATTAACAACAAAATAAAGAAATAAAAAACTTCTAATTAAACTCAATAATATATATATATATAAAAACTATATTATATTAACGTTAAAAAACTTCAATTATTTGAAAGAATATTTTTCATTGACTTTTACAAGCGTCTTTTTTATTTTGTTTTTTTGTACTAGAACGTTTAGGTATATCACTTTCTTCTGTATCTGAAACATCAGAAACACTGCCAAGTCCATGTGACACTTCTAGAAACTGTTGTGGAATGTCAGAATGACGATGCTGATCTATACGAGAGTCTGAATAGCCAAGTAAAGAAATTTCAGGGACAAATAGTCCTAGAGTTGCTGGGCACTCAGGATTATGATTTTCAAGTTTACTTTCATTACTTTTAGATTTATTTTTCTTTTTCTTTGATTTTTTATCCTTAGAATTGTGAGCAAGGTTTATTTGTTCATTTTTAAAATCAAAAACTTCTTTAACTTCTTTTAACTCAGCAGATTGAGGAGTAGCTTGTGAAAAACTTTCAACACGCACTATGCATCCTTTTCGTTTCATTTCATCACCTATATTTTCTTCACAAATTGTCTGAGTAACATCATTAGAACTTCCTGCTTCTATATTACTTAGCATATTGTGATCTGCTTTAGGTTGGCAACTAGCATCACCAGCAGATGTTTCGTAAAGATCAATAACTTCTTGACTAATAAAAGTATTTTTCTCATTAGAAACTTCTTCATTATAACAAAAAGGCTTTTCACCTTCTATAATATCTTGCTTGGTAACTAAAATAGATTCATTATTTTCATTAGGTAAAATATCGTCAAGCTTATGAACATCCAAAGTTACTTGATATAAAGTTTTATTAACTTCTGTTTCAATGGCATCAAATGGATCTTGTATTTTGCAATCTTTGTTTGACATATCAAATTTATCAAGTACATTAGCATTATCTGGCAAAACATCTACATTACTATCATAATCTTTGTTAGGGATACTATTTAAAGAGTTTAAATTATTCAGGTTAGTATCCAGTTCACTAGGAGTCAAATTAAAGTGGTTTTCTAAATTATTTATTAACTCTAAATTATCATTATTAGTAAACAACTCTGAATTAGTTAGAGTTTCAGTATTATCAGCATTTTGATCATTGCTTGTTGCATCATTAAAAGGAAGCTCAGCATATCGCAGAGCTTCATTTTCTAATTCCACATAAGGACTTTGTCGAGCTTCTACAACATGATTAAGATTAAAATCTTTATTTTCAATTGTATCGTAGGATTCTTCTTCAACAACTCTGTCTATAATATTAGCTTCATTATCTGCAATTATTGAATTGCATTGATCAACGGTTGAAAAATATTGGTCAATGTTTAACTTAGGCTCTTCATTTTTAAGCTCATTATCTTCAAAATATAAGTATTTATCAACAACAATATTACTTTTAACATCAGGAGTGGGAGATCTTTCATTTTCAATCATGTGATCAATATCAAGTAAATTAAGTTTGTTTGGTGTGTTGTAAATTTCATTGACAATTATTTCATAGTCATGCTTATTGTTATTCTTCTCAACACTTAATTCTAGAGGAAGATCAGATTCATATTCACTGGCAATTTCGGTATCCTCAGATAACATTAATGATTGAACTGAGAGTTCAAATGATTTGTCTTCAAAATGATGTAAGCCGCCTTGCTGAGATCCAGTGTCAATAACTTCAAATTCGTCACATTTTTCATTATTGTTGATAAAAATTCCAGCATGGCGACGCTCTTCCTGAATGGCACTTGCTTCATCAGAAACATCCACAAAAGATCGCTCTAGCTCTGTTCGTTCCACTAGAAGGAATATCGAAAACAGATGTCATTGGGACAATATAAGCAAACCAAAAATATAAAGAACAACCGTACCTACAATATCCGCATTATTAAAATAAATGTCCCATAAACATCTTTTTCGAGAAACCTTCTAGTTTTTTTTTTTTTTTTTTTTTTTCCAAAAAATAAATTAAAGTAAAAAATTAAAAAAAAAAAACTAAAAAAATATGCGGATATCGAAAGAACGATTTTCTTTAGAGCTTAACTAAAGAACAATTAAAACCACAAATTTATAAAATGAGTTACAAAAAACCACGTTATCAACTAATAAATGTTTCATTTAATTATGCAATTATTTAAAATATATTATTGTTTTTTAACAAACTTTAGGCAGAAAAAAAAAATTTATAAAAAAAAACATATTTTATTTTTACAAACATTATAAGACTAACTTAATTTATAAAAAAAAAAGAAAAACTTTAAAAAGCTTACGTCTTATAGTATCAGCTTCTTTTTGAGTGGTATTAACAACATAACATTTATCTTGCTCAAGCTTAAGAAGTTTAACCTCCCTCTGTAACCTTTCAATCTAAAAATTACTTTTTTATTAATGTCACACGAAGCTTTAATATTATGAATTTATAACAAAACAAAAAAAAAAAAACAAATCATTTACTTCAGAATGAAGCTCATCTGTGTTTTCTAAAAAACAAATTATTTAAATTTTGTAGAAAAAAAAAAAACAACCTATTAGTTTAAATACATTAAAATAAGTTTTCATATAATTTATACTTAAACATTTACAGTTATGTTTAGGAAATGGAAGTTCAAAAAAGAACTCTGGAGTTTAGGGGCGTAGTCAGGATTTTTGATATTCTGAGAGACGTGACGGAAGAGACTTTCAGACGTGGAGCAAACTCCAAACATTTTTATTGTTACATTGATTTCAAACAAAGATGTTTTGCTTTGCAACGAACTTGTAAGTTAGTTATCTCAAAAACCAAAAAATCTTGGCTATGCCTCTGCTTTTTAACTCCTTAAAGAAAAAATACAGAAACTTAAGAATACTGGAATCAATCAATTTCTTATGCGTGCTAGAATTAATTTCTTAGGTGTTATTGCAAATAGGGACACTGACTTCAAAAATGATAGATTCCAAGATTCTCAAAGATAGAGTTGAAATGCTACTAAGCATTTTTAAACTTTTAGGACAATAGAGTCTAGGTAATAATAGAAACCAGTGGTTCTAAACTCTCTTTAATCCTCTTGAGTCCTCTTTAATACTTCCAATCATTTAATATGTCATAACTATAGATAAATATAATTTGTTATAGCTGTATGATTTGTATTATAAAAGATAAATACTTGGCTTAAATAAAATGACTTAAATTAAAATAAATTATAATGACATTTTTTAAATAAGGTCTTAACCATATTTGATATATGGTCAACTTGTAATTTGTGTTAATTTATGTTATATTAATTATTTTATGTTCTACCTATGTGATTTGATCCGAGTTTAGAAGATTCATTAACTTGGTCTGTTTTATCAAGTGTTTCTTCTTTTAATGTGCCATCTATATTAATTCCATGTTCCTAAAAAACAAAACCAAAAAATTAATAAATTATTTAATGTATATCTAATAAATGTGTATATATATATATATATATATATATATATATATATATATATATATATATATACCTACACAACTGATACTTGAAGATATCAGTTGTATCTCTGTGAAATTGGGTCTTTAGATATGATAACACGCATCTAAAGACCTAATTTCTTTATATATCTTGCACGCTTTGATTTTTATGTGCTTTAATTTTTCAGTAATTGAAAAACAAAACAAAAAATTAAGATTAATAAAAAATAAATGATGGCTTCCCCAAACCAAACCCTCAGTTAATGTAGCAGTTTTTTAATTATTAATTTACTAATATAAATAAATTAGTAGAAAATCACTTATCAATATTTTTACTTGACATATGAGTCTTTATTGATGAAACACAGTGTCAAATAAAAAAATGGATAAGTGATTTTGTCTATTTAATGCAGTTTAAATTTTTTTATTAAATATACTGCAACATACAAAGTTGGAAGCATATTTATTATTTTTTGTTTATCATAGTTTTGACAGATTGACAAAAATAATTTCTATCTAGCGTTTAAAAATATAATTTTGAAATTAGTTTATATCTAAATTTGTGATAAATTTGGTCATTATACATTTAAAAAAGATTTTACTTAGCAAATTATTTTTATTAGAGTGAGTGACAAATAAAATATGAGCAAAGACAAGCCAGTGAATCTTTATTAAATACCACCAATGTATTTTAACAAATTGCAACTGAGGCAAAATAAAAGTATTTCAACACGAAAGAAGATTTAAATTTGCAAATTAGTGTTACCCAAATCAAATCCTGATTAAATGAGGCTAAATTATGTGGCTTGTGGCTAGAACTCCAAAGATGTTTTATAAGGGTAAAATCAGGGTTCTGAGGTGGCTATGGTAATAAATTAATATGATTTTTATGAGAAACTTTTTTTTTTTATCCTGCTAAAAAATATAGTTGACAATTAAACTTTATTGATTGATTAAATCTGACATATTGAAAATTTATTAACTTTCCATCAATGAATTGCAATTTACCAACACCTTTAATAGAAAAATAGCACCTCTACCATGTTTTATTGTAGGTTTTAAACAATAGAGGTTCAAAAACTATACTTACAGCCCTGGAGAAAGAATGGGACTTAATGCATCATAAGATCATTAAAAAATCAATTGACGATGCCTAACCAATTGCTAGAGATCATCAAATCAAGGGACTTTTAAACCTGTTATTAATTTTTTAATTAGTTATATAGCAATTAATTTTTTGTAACTTTTCTTTGTTGTCAACTTTCTGCTCATGTTAAGAACGTAAATATATTCTAGATTTGTTTTGAACGAAACTATTTCACACTACAAAAAAATATTAGGAAATGCGGCATTATTTAATTACATTTTATGAATCAAATACAATTAATTAACTAATTAACTCAAATACTAATTATTATATGATGATATTGATAAGTAAACTTGAGTTAAACTAGTAAACTTTTATGAATAAAACAAGACTTTCGTAATATTTACTTTTTAAAATGTCATTTTATGAATAAGAACTAAATAATGAAGATAACTTGAACAACGTCAACATAAAAATGCAATTGTGTAATCAGTCTTTGTTGAAATCAAAAAAAGACCTAATTTAAGTAATGATACTAAAACTTAATCATACATTAAAATGCTTAAAAATAGCTTTCACTTGTTTTCAAATAGTTAAAATTATATATAATTATTTGTTTTAACTATTTACTTTTTTTTTAATTATACACTTTTTCAAATAAAAAAAGTATAACTTTTTTTATTTTTGAGGTGTTCTGTTATATGAGCTTTTGCTTTTATTACCTTAATAAATATTATATATATATATATATATATATATATATATATATATATATATATATATATATATATATATATATATATATATATATATATATATATATATATAGTTTTAAAAATAACCTTTGCAAAGAATAAAACTTACATCTAAAATTCTTTCTCTGTCTTTAAGTAAATCAGAAAGTTTTGAAAACTGTTTTTGAAGATCTGCATGCTCTTTATAAAGTTTGTTGTAATCCTAAATGTTTCAAAAATACACTTAAAATTAAAAATATTTCTTATATGATTAATTGATATAGTAATATTAATGTGTTAATATATAAAATATATCAAAAGTAAACTGAAATATGAAAATTAAAAACTATTATTTTATATATAAAACACATAAAATCACATTAAACTCAACATTTCTATTCAGTATATTCAAATATGTTACATTCAACTCATAACTTTATGCATAAACATAAGTTTTTCATAATTTTTTATTATATTTTTAGCCCCTCTCCTCTGGTAAATAGGAAAAAGATAAACAACACCAGGGTTTTAGCTAGCTCAATGGCATCACATAAACTGCGAAATTCGCAAAGCGTTTAAAATTTCCAAAATTCAATGACCTTTTTTTTTTTTTTTGTCAACAATATCAATAAAAATTCTCAATATTTTTCTCATACCCTTTTAAGCTACCATAACATTACCACAAGTTCAATAATACAAACCCATTAACAATTTTTCAGTCTTTTTGAGTGAAACTACACACCCATATGGCTGAGAATGTCTTAAAAATTCATAGAGAACTTATAGGAAAGAAATTACCTAGTCATAGTAAAATATAAATTTTCAATACTTCATTATTTTGTGGTTCAAATTACAATATACATATGCACAATGGGGCCTAACAAAGGAAAAAATGGCTTAAAATCTAAAAATCAAGTTTTAAATTTTTAAAAATTTTAAATGCTAATTTTAAATCTTATTTGTAGCTGCATCTGAAACAAATTAGATTGTACTAAGTTGGATGTTGAGTAACCATTAGACTCCAACTCAAACTGACCGAAATTTGTGTTAAAATTCCTATTTTGAGTTTATTACATTTACTTTGTGACTGCTGTTTTAAGAATATTAAATTATATATCTATGTAAAGATAATGATTAAGTCTATCAATATATGCAATAAAATTAATTTAATTTAGTTTATTTCCAACAAAAATATATATATTTATAGCGCTTTTAGTTCGTTTATAACTTAAAAGCTAGAGATATGATTTTGCTGTTGATGGTAGGTGGAAGTCTAACTTGCAATAAATACTTGAAACTTAGTTCAATCAAGTTTGATAAAAACTTAGTCTGTCTTGTACTGTTTGATTCATTGTTTTTCCGTTTAAAAAACTTTTTTTTGTCTTTTTTTTAAAAAAAATCTAAAAATAAAGACAAATGGCATTTCTATCAGTATACTGATAGAAATGCCATCTGCAGTAACCAATAATTACATTATTGGTTACTGCAATAATTATATAAAATTATATAACCAATAATTACTTTGTAAGGATTATTGGTTACTGCAGTAACACATAATCCTTACGCAATTCAAAAGCATTGTTCAAAGATAAATAAAACTGTGAAATGTGTAAATACATTTAAAAATGATTATTAAGTATAGTGAAACTGTTGCAATTATAAAACAAAATGATAAACATTATCTACCGATTGAAAAATGCTTGTTGTGTTGTGAAGAAAAACTTAAAAAAAACCTAAAAGAAGACGAAAAACAAGTTATAACACAGAAAATAAAAAATATAAAAAGCAATACATTGAACTTTGGAGAAAGCAAGGTTGTTCTTCTGCAAGATTCATGAAATACCATGGAAGTTGGCTTTAAACTGAATACAAGCTTCCAATAGAGCTTAAGTGACCCTCAGCCGTCCAGTTCTGAAAAAACGAAAAAAGGAAGACCAACTATGCCATTTTTGGAGATGTCTGCCAGATCCAAACGCCGAGTTATTGCTAATGTTGTATCTAATAACGAACCCGAAACTGAAATGTACCTCAGAGTTGCTGCAACTGTCGCTGCACAAAATGATAAAAAAGCCTTATCTCATAAAACAAACAAGTTATTCAAAGCCAAAATTTAGCTGCTGTATTGAATAAGATTAATTCTGAAGTTGTGAGAATGCCACCGGAACAAGCATTATCGTTTCTTTTTGATACGAATTTGTCCAAAGATCAGTATAATCAAGTAAGATTTGCAGCTAAAACTCAAGGTGGCAATATTTCCCCTCCTTATAAGTTGATATCAGCTGAAAAATCTTAATGTTGTCCAAGTGAAATATTGCAAACAGAAAATTGCATTGAAGTAGAAAGCATTTATTAAAACATACTCTAGAAAGAATTAGTAAGTTGCAGCATGAACTTATTGAGAAAGAAATTCCAGAAATTAATGTTGTTCAATGCAAATATTATAGTTTCTTATGGCTTTGACGATAGCATGCAACAAGCAAGATCTAAGTGAAAATTTTAGTAATAGTTCATTATTTGTGACATCTATGATTCCTTTAAGATTGCAAACAAGCTGTGGAAAAATTTTATGGACTAATCAAACTCCTCAGTCTACTAGATTTTGCTGTCCACAAAGAATCAAATTTGCAAAGGAAAGTAAAGAATACGTAATTCGATTAAAGGAGAAATATGATAAAGAAATTGCTGAACTCGAAGAGGTTGTGATTATTTTAAAGTCTAGAAAGAAACTATTGGTTGAATGTAATCTGTGTTTGACGTTACTAGATGGAAAGATTCAGGCATTTATTACAAAGACATCTTTGTTTCAACGATGTACTGTGTGTGGTTGTTCTTCAAAAGATATGAATAAACTAGTAAATTTTACAAAAAGAGTATTTAATGTTAACCCAGTAGCTCTACAATATGGTTTAAGTATTCTTCACATGCATATACGCTGTTTCGAAGCAATGTTACACATTTCTTATAAATTAGTTTTGCCTGAAAATCAAATGGCAAGTGCATGGAAAAGAAAACGAAGCAATAATAAAAGCAAGGAAGATTGAAATTCAAAGCTGATTCAAAAACAAACTTAACATTCATATAGACATGCCAAAATCAAGCGGTGGCAATAGTAATACAGGAAACATTGCAAAAAGAGCATTCGAAGATCCGAAGCTCTTGTCTGAAATTTTAGACATCGACTTGGAGCTTATTCAAAGATTAAGAATACTTTTGTTGTGTATTTCTTATCGATTTCCAATTGACCCAGTCAAATTTAATGACTATTGCTTCTCAACAGCATCTCGGTATGTTAAATTATATAAAAAATTTCCTATGACTCCCACATTACATAAACTTTTGATACATGGCTCACAAATCATATCAAATTCAATTGTCCCTGTTGGCATGTTATCTGAAGAAGCTTCAGAAAGTAGAAATAAAATTTTTAGATCAGATAGAATCAATCATGCTCGAAAAGATAGTCGCCAACACAACCTCTTTGATGTGTTCACACTTGCAATGGAGACTTCAGATCCAATTCTTTCAAGTTCAAGATTACAACAAAGAATTCAAAAGTACAAGAAAGTAAGAGAACTATTAATCTTAAATATAAATATTTATAATGAAAACTGTGATGATGATTCTAACAGTTAAAATGATATAGATGATTTTGAAACAGTCACATGTATGAAACAAATGTAGATTCTGAAATATATCAATAAGATGATGTTATGATTTTTTATAATAAAAATAGCAGACGTGGCGCAGTGGTTATAGTGTTGAACTCTTTACCCAAAGGGTTGCAAGTTCGAATCGAGTATCAATAAAATTGAACAAAATATTTTGTACAATAACTTTTCTCTATTATTTGCTTGCAACATAGATGGCAGCATGAGTTTTTATCTTTTGAATAAAAAACTTATTCATATTTTCATATAATATTTTACACTTTATTTTAAAAATTTGGAAAAAGTTGTGTGTGTAGGGGGGGGGGGGCACTCAGCCTTTCACTCTTCACCACTCCCCTCTGTTACCGCGATTCTTTTTATAAATACGCATGTTTTACTTTTTTTTTCCATAAGTTTTTTTTATAAGCTATAAATATATATTTAAATAATATAGTAAAAAGTAAAAAAAATCACTGAATGTCAATTTATTGCTAAAGAAATTCTTATCAGACTCTATTTCGAAAGAAATGGTCAAAAATTTTTCAAAAAACATTTAATTATTTTTTCATTCAATTTAGAATACTCTTTTTTATAATTGTGCAAAAATTCAAATGGATTGGCAGATTTTTCGATTTTTGGCCATTTTTCCTTTGTTCGGCCCCATTGTGATATGTAATCCACTATATATAATATGTTATACACAAACATAAATCTTGTTTACTAAAAACATATGCAAAATCAGAAAACTATTTTTAATTCTAGCAAGAATAAAACATTTGTTGAAAACAAAATTTAATTCAATTTAAATATAGGTATTAAAATGAATCTTTTTTATATTTACATTATTTCTATTATTCAAGAATTTAATAATCTTTTGTATTATTTATAAATAATAAAAAAAAAGTTAAGTAATTTAGTTTTGTGCTGACTGTTTATTTTAGATTTTTAAGACTTTCAAAATTTCAATATTTTCATAATTTCATAATTGATTACAATTAAAACTATATGTGATTATAATATTTAAAAAACTAAAATAGGAGAAAGGAACAATTTGAAGAATACACAGGAAAAAAATAGCATATCAAAATCACATTTAAAAAGTTTTGGGGTATATTGATCATTTATAAAAGTCTTCATATAAAGCAAAGAAGTTTAAAAGTTAGAAGAAAAAAAAAAAGACTAAAAATTCTAAACATTAGAAGAAAAAAAAGACATTTCTTGATTAATTTGTCTAAAGTTTACTTAATAATAAAATATTTGTAACTTTTATTAAAAAATTTTTTGTCCTAACTTTATACAAAGACTTTTATAAATGATCAATAAAACTTCTTAAATGCGATTATGTCGTTTTCCCCCTGCTTTACAAGTTGTAAACACTACTCAACTAAAAATTAATTTTTAAATGAGCAAAGAAAAGACTAGAAAATAAGTAAAACTAAAAAAGGGGAAAATATTTTAAAAGAGAAATATTTAAGTAATAAAAGAATTAGAAAAAAAAAAATTAAAAATTTGAATCTAATAGAAAAAAAAATTTGAACTTAATAAAAAACATTAATTTAACTCGTCAAGGCATAACTTATCATATTTTAACACTATTGTTAATAAAAAATACTTTTATCTTCTTTTTTGCTCACCATTAATTTTGTAGTTATTGCTATTTATTACTTTTATTACTACTTTTATTTTTATATTATCAATAGTGGTGTCACTGCTATGATAAGATTACTGCTCGAGTGACACAATCCTTAAAATAATCCCAATAAATTAGCAGAGGGATTTATTCAACAGCGAAAAGAAAATAAATAAATAAAGGAAAATTTAAAAAATTATTTTAATGATAAAAGATTTAGAATGAAAAAAACAAGACTAAATGATATCATTAAGTAAGGATATAAACAAATAAAAGTCAAAATACAAGTTAAAAGAAAAAATGTTCAAAAATGGAAGAAAAAAAAAGAAGAAGAAATAATTACAGATTTATCCACAAGATAAGATTAATGTTATTGAAAAAACAGAAAAGGAATAAGTTTAATTTTTATTAGTTTAATATATATTAGTATATACTGATTATATTGTTGTGTATTTTTGTGTATTGTTTATGTCATGTAGTTTTTGTGTACAAATAAATAAATTTACTTTTTTACATTTTAATTTATTAATTGAATTTGCTGTTTTGTTTGAGTATTTTGTTATTTGTGTTGTTATTTTTTCATATATTTTTCTGTTCACAGTTGTTTTATTAATATATATAACTTAAAAAAAGCATAGGTATAAATTTTTTATCTAATTATGTATGTTTGCATTTATTTTCCTCGTTTATGTTTGTTTACAATAATATTATCTTTCACTTTCATACCTATAGCTTATCACATTAAACGTTATGTTACCTCATACATCCATTCTCCCTTTTTTTTTAGTCATTTAAGATTAAATATTTAAATAATTGTAATATATAATATGGCTTTTTTTTGTTTTATTAGTTTATTTTATAAAAGTGTCATTCCATTGACTAATTTTTAAGTATATTAGTAACATCAACCTAATTTTGAAAATTATAATTAAACTTTTTTAATAATAAATTAATTTTATTAAATTATTATTAAAAAATAATAATTTAATAAAATTTTTAATTTTATGATTTTTAAATGGATTATTAAAATCATGCTATGACATTAATGATGATGATGCTATGACATTAATGATGCTATGACATTAATGATGATGATGCAATCACATTAATGTTAAGACAATAATCAAAAAAGTTTTTTTAAATGATGTTTCCAGTTTGTCTAGTATTAGTAATTACTTTAATTATTATGATCATTAGTTTCAACTTATTTTTATTAGTAGATATTCTTTTAAAGTTAAATGAGTGAACTTAATTACTGAACTAAATAACATTTAACCAAAAATCTTACTTCAATAAATTTTTTTGGGCAAGAGGTTTACATATCTAGTTGTTTTATTAGTAATTTATATTATTGAGTCAATTATGCTATAAAAAATTGAATATTTAATACTTTAGAGATGCTTTTAAACATAATTAATAATTACAAATTTCTTGACTTAATATTATAACATAGAAGAGACATAATTGCAATTGAAAAAATAACAATCTATTTAATTAAGTACTTAACTTGAAGACACTTTCTCATAAAAAACAAATTAAGAAACACTTATTCATTAAAATTAAATTAAGTGACACTTTCACATAAAAAAAACATATTAACTACACTTTCTCATAAAAAATAAATTGTGACACTTTCTAATAAATAAAATTAAAGTATTTCAAAATCTTACTTTTATTTTATGCGAAAGTTCATCTGTAATATTTTCTAATGCCTCTTCAAAATCTTCAACACTGTTATATAAAGCCATAAGAATGTTAATCAAATAAAAAATTCACACAAATAAAAATTCTATAGTATACAAGAAAATAAAAAAATACACACTTGTCTTTAAGACAATCAACTTGATATAGAAGTGCTTGTTTTTCATTATCTAATTGAGCTATGCTGACCATAGCTTTCCTATATTTTTCTTCTGCTTCTTTATACAACTCCTATAAAGCAAAATTTATAGTTAAAACACTTACCACAAATTTGAAAATTCAAAATAACCCAACTATATGAAAAAAAAAATTTTTTTCCTTCAGATTTGAGTTTCAAAGTATGAATATTAAACAAACAAAAAAAAAGGTTTAAACTTATTTTAAAATTTATACCTTAAACTGTGTAGCTTGTGTATCCAAACCAAACTGACTTTCAATAATGTCATTTTTTTTACTCCCAGATGTAAGACGAGAGACAACCTTTTTAAAGCAATGAATTTGTATACATATAAAAAAAATTATATACATGAGATTTTTAAAGAAATTTTATTTCTAATATTTTAAGAATTATTTCATAAAATATTGATTACAAATATAATTACAAAACTCTTAGAAACTTGTAAACAACAAGATTGTTCACAACCTTGTTTATCTTGTTCTTTACATAAACAAAATTGTCAGCAATTTAGTTTAAATATAAACAATATTATTTACAATTTTGTTTACAGTTAAATATAAGCAACTTTAATAACATTTTTAACTGTTTATGAAATGATGGCATATAAAAGACTAACGGAGTTGTCCAGTTAATCATTGTAAGCATTTATAGCATCTTAGCATATTTACTTGTTATGCATATCTTAATTACAATAGTTAATTTATATTTTAAAAATTAATCACTTTTTTACTCATAATAAACTTTTTGTATACAAAATTAATTACTAACTGTGAATATTTTTATTCTCTTTTTACTTTTATTTTTATTCTTTAGTTAACAAACAATATGTAAGTTAAATTGCCATGGCACTGCAAGTGTTAGATGCAACACTATGGTTAAACACTATAGGGGATTTTTAACTATGGTTAAGCATCCCCACCCAAATATCTTGGAAATATTTTTTATATGCAACACATTTTTAAAATTATAAAGCTTTATCCACAAGACTTATTGACAGATTAAAAGAAACAATTCACAATATCAAAATTACAAAAATGCTACATTTAATATATAAAAAAAAAAAAAAAAAACTAAATAACTTGCTGCCTTACACCAGCTTCTCAAAAATGTTTGCTTAGCTTAAAAAAAAATTAATATTGAGTTTAAAAATATTTAAAATATGAAATGAGTCATAATACTTAACCATTCTTTATGACATGGCTTCCCAAATAGCAAAAAGTTATTTTTTTTAATTAGTTCATCATGAGAAAATAGCTGTTAAGACTTTGTATGTTTAAACTAGCAATTTTGCACTGCACAAAAGTAAAAAATTAAGAAGATTTCTTGATACAATTAAATACAATTAAAAATCCTTTTAAATGAGTTTTTTAAAGTGCGGGTATTAAACTTTAGCAGGAATAAAATATATCTTTATATTTGGTAAGTATATAGTTGGAAACAAAATTTTATTTTATTTTAGGGGTTAAAAGACAAACTATCGTTATTGCAAGCAAACAAATGTTGCATAAAAAGATTTATTAAAAATTTTTTATGTAAATTTTAAATAAATTTATAACAAATTTTAAAAACGCATTGAATAAATTTACTATGCCTCGAAACATTGGCGATAAAAAAAACAACAAAACAATCTAAACATATAGCTTATATATAAACAGATAGCTTTTGAAAAAAGTTTTTGAGACGAACAACTTGCTTGGCTTGTTGTACCAGATTTTAATAGGCATTTCTCAGCTTATCCACTCGTATATATATATATATATATATATATATATATATATATATATATATATATATATATATATATATATATATATATATATATATATAATGTATATATATACATATATATATATATATGTATATATACATATATATATATATATATATATATATATATATATATATATATATATATATATATATATATATATATATATATGTATATATATATATATACATACATATATATATATATACATATATACACACACACATATATATATATATATATATATATATATATATATATACATTGACACAATCGGGTTACCATTAAACATAAAAAACAAGGTTGGCGATTTTTTGCAACACTTTTAGGTTGGCATTGTCGAATTCCAACCTTAATTCCAAGGGCTGTATATATAAATTAATAAATAATTATATATATATATATATATATATATATATATATATATATATATATATATATATATATATATATATATATATATGAATATCAGGCTTGGTCGAGAACATTTCAGAAAACGAAAAAAAGCGCAAAAGATTAATTAGACCAATGAGAGACAAATACAAAAAAAATAAATAAATAAAACAATAAAAAATTAGGAAAATAAAATATCTTTTAACGCGAAAAAACTTAAAGCAAAATAAAATACGTTTAGAACAAAAATTTTCAAAACATCACGCAACGTTTTTTATATAAAGTAACATTTTACAATTGTTTAAAAAGGAAACAAATGTTCTTTATTTAAAAAAAGAGTAATAAATTTTTTATTTATATACTCGTGCCTTATTTCCAGTGCTAGATTAAGGAGGTTTGGGGTTAGATGAGGCTATAGCCCCGGGCCCCGCAATGTTAAGGGCCCAAAAAAAGTCAAGAAGACCTTTTTTTAGTCATTTTTATGCTGTGACACATAAAAAACCTCCAAAAAAAAAAAAAAAAAAAGCCCCTGGCCCCAAAAAGTCTAACAAGACTCTAATAAAACTAATGCAAGTTTAGGTTTTATTTAAGCTAAATTATTTTATAAATAAAAAAGTTAACTTTTTCAATAACTATTATATGCTTTGCGTAGTTTGAAAAGTTTAACATATTTGAAACAATTCTTTTTAGTAAGATGAACAAATAAAATAATTAAATCATTGAATTACTATAGAAATTAAATTAACTAGATAGAAATCAACTAAAAAGGTTAAAAATACTTTATGACAAGGAAGCAAAACTGCTTTACAATATTGCTGATGATGTTGAATGTGTGGTCTTTTTAATTTTAATTAGTATTTAAAGCAGAAAAAAGTATAACGAGTTTTTAAGAATGGCAACTGAAGCGAAAATAATTAGAGTTAGTAAACCAATATATTACAATTTTTCTTTATATCTAATAACTTCCTATATATATTTGTGTTATGTCGTGACCTCAGGCTTGTTGCTTGTTCATCCGCGAGTTACTTTGTATGCATGTTTGTGTTTAATAACCAGAAACTTCTTATATGTTTATTTCATAATTAGTTTTATTAACTTTGATGATTGTTAATAACTTCATTGAAAATGCAATTATTGTTGAAAATCTATGTTTACAAAGTAAATTATTAAAATTGCTTTAAAAGATTACATTAGAATAAAAAACAGATACACAAAATTACATTTACATAAAAAATACATACTTTTTAAATAAAAAATAAGAATATACTAATAAAATCTATAATTTATAATAAACTTTCAAAATTTTGACAATTTAAAAAATGTATATTTAAAACATTTATTTTTGTAAACAAATAATAATAGTTTAAAAGATTTATGGCTTTGCAGATAGTATTAAAGTTCGTTTGATAATATATACTTAAAACAATTTATGCTAGTAATCCCAAATTGTAACAAATCGTGAATAATACAATTTTTAAAACATTTCAACAGAATACTCTAGAACTTTATTTCGCTTGGCGTATTTTTTAAACCAATAGAACTAGTTTGTTCGTAGATTTAACAGGTTTTTAATATTTGGGAATATTCTTTTTATTATTCCGCACCAAGATGTTTTAAGAAAATTCAAGTTAATGTTTCCATGTATGTCTGGAAAACAAAAAACTTTTGTTACATACATAAACTTTAATGTTCTCAAAACGACCAAAAAACCTGGCCAGTTTTTTGCAACTAAATTGCTCCCACACCCAACCAATCCTGGTATATATATATGTATATATGTATGTATGTATGTATATATATATATATATATATATATATATATATATATATATATATATATATATATATATATATATATATGTATATATGTATATATGTATGTATGTATGTATGTATGTATATATATATATATATATATATATATATATATATATATATATATATATATATATATATAAATATATATATATATATATATATATATGTGTATATATATATATATATATATATGTGCGGTCGTGGTGTAGTGGTAGAACGCTTGCTTCATAAATGAGTGGTTCCAAATTTGATCCCCACCATGTCCCTGGTAGTACCGCGCTCAACTCGTTTCTCCGCGCAGCGGCCTTGTTCGTCAAGGTTCGTGTTTCGGAGTTAAAGAGTTGAGAGAGGGTTATAGCCACAAATAAGTAGCCTCCTCGTCTGTAGTGGCCTTCTTGGCCTTGAGGAGGTGAATTAAATATATATATATATATATATATATATATATATATATATAGTATATATATATATACACATACACACACAAGTCTTTCCCGTAAGCATGTGTGATCAAATGCCTTGTTTGTCCACGCTTTAAGTAATTTTTTTAGACAACTTGATTACATTTTTATATTGTAAGTGTTTTATGAATTTGCGGCAAAACAAAGCTATAAAAAACTAGAGAGAATAAAACAGCAATACTCAAAGAAAGGAAACGAAGACTATATGAAATAGAAAATCTAAATAAAATAAGCTTAAAAAAAATTGAATATCTGAAAAAAAAAAATATTCTCAGAAAAATAATATTTCTAAATATTTAACTGTTTTTGTTTTCTTACTCTCTACTACCAAAATTGATACAAGTCGAGAAAAAAGGCAGATGATAATCTCATTTTTTTAACAGATAATAAAGCAGATGACAAAGCAGATAATAATCTCATTTTTTTAACAAATAAATTTGAAAAATTTATTTGTTAAAAAAATGAAATTATTAAATGAAAAAATGTTTTTCATGTAAAAAATTAGTCATTAATACTTATATTTAAAAACAAGATATTTGGTTGTTTTCACTACTCCCATTGAAACTTTAGTTGGATTATCCAAGTTGTGCATTTAAACCCGATAGTTTATTTCCTGATGAACTATTGTTATTGAAAAGTTTGTGGGCTAGTGCATTGTTAATTTATTGAATTTTTTTACAAAATTTTAAGAAGCCTATTAAAAACTTTTTTTTAAGTTTTTAATACATTTTTTTTTAAACAGAGATATTATGTTCATTATCTCTTGTAATTCGTATTAACGTTGGAAATTGGGCAATATAAAAGAATTTCAAACATGCATCAAATGCGGTAAATACATATATAAAAGAAAGCTTGTTACTCT